GTCATACGTGGCGGTTGTTTAACCGCCGTATATAGTTAACATACACGGCGGTTTCCAAAATCGCTGTAGAAAGTGTATATTTACAACGGCAGTCACTTACATGTGCGACACTTCGAAAATCGCCGTGTATGTGTAAAAAAAAACCGCATGTGGTTATTTAAAGTGTATGACGTTAAAAAAATTAATTAAGGTATATACGGCAGTTATTTAAAAAATCGTCGTCTATTAAGTGACGTAGTATAACAAAATATATTAGACGATGGTTATTTAAAAAACCTCCACCTATTAAGTGACGTAGTATACCATTTATGTAGTAGTGATTAAGGACGAAATTTGCAATTTTAACTCAGGGACGAAAAGTGCAACGCCAATGATAACTTAGGGACGAAAAGTGAGCATGACCAACACTCAGGGACGAATTCTACAATTACTTTATAACTTAGGGACGAAAAGTGCAACGCCAATGATAACTTAGGGACGAAAAGTGAGCATGACCAACACTCAGGGACGAATTCTACAATTACTCTATAACTTAGGGACGAAAAATGCAACGCCAATGATAACTTAGGGACAAAAAGTGAGCATGACCAACACTCAGAGACGAATTCTACAATTACTCTATAACTTAGGGACGAAAAGTGCAACGCCAATGATAACTTCTGGACAAAAAGTGAGCATGACCAACACTCAAGGACGAATTCTACAATTACCCTGTAACTTAGTAGTGATGAAAAGTACAATTTTTTTTTTTTTAAAATATCTTATTAATTTTTAATCATTTTCTTGGTGACAAAGATTTTTGGATCCACCACTGCTCATCACATCCTCATAATCCAGCTCATGATCGAACATAGCTGACACTTGACAGATCGACAATGAAGTGTGGTCGAAATTAAAGATATATCGATCAAGTTTCATGTATTGTGGTCCTCAGATCAAGATTTTATCAAGACATAATCCTTTCAAGGTGGAAACAAGCAAGCCACGTACTATCTATATATATCTATATATATATATATATATATATATATATATATATATATATATATATATATATATATATATCATATGAAATCTATTCTCCCATGGTTGGTGAAGGAAGAGATTACAAATTCATCATCTAAGAAATATTTTTTTAGAAAGAAAATAAACGACATATCAGTAACCATCTAAACCACTAATTCATCTTCACTCTTCTTCAGAACATGATTTTCATATTGATGGATATCTTTTCCCAATTATGTAGTAAATTAAATTAGCAAATTAGCTCCAAATATAGGAATCTCTAAACAATAACATTAAGAACTAAGATGAGTCTTTCTTAATACAGACTCACGAATCCTTATCTTTTTATGTTGAAAAATGTAATATTAATTAGGATTTAATTATTGAAAATGACATTTAAATATATATATATATATATATATATATATATATATATATATATATATATATATATGGTGGCATTCACATGAAAACACCATTAAAATACAAACTTGTGGACAAATATGAGCCATTAGATTAATGGTTGGGATGGAACATGGAAAAATAGGCCCCAGGATAAGATTGCATATGAAAAGGGCAATTTAGACAACACAAATAGAATCCTACTTAACATACAAATAAAACAGTTCTGATATATAATAAGACTAATTCGACTACAATTAACTATCCTACAACTAATACGGCACTCCCAGTCCGACGCCAACCACCACCCCAACGCCCAAATCACCGTGCTGAGAGGCAAATCGTCGGCGAACATCAACTGCAACCGGCGACCGTGGAGAACACGCACACAACATTCCCAGGTAAGCATCGAAATACATTTATGGGTGCCGTAGAACACACCGTGCTTAGTGATTGAAAAGTATGTGCATAACTGAGTTTATGAATCAAGCGTTATTACTGTGCGAATTTGTTTACAAACTATTGGGGAAACCAAGTACAAATACCAATAATGGGAAACTGTGATCCGGCGATGGGGGGAATAGATTACAGAACCAAGCACAAAGCCATATAGGCACATGCACGCATAGTAGATCATTAGTTACACACAGAAACATAAGCTTGGGTAGATAAATAGGTGTAGAGACATTCATGAGGAAATTTAAACACCAACATATGGCTGTAGGAAAGACAGTGAAGTAATTAAACATTCATTGGACACAACGTAATACACTGAACACACGCTTAGAAAATACACTACTTACATTCTTATACGCGAGCACACGAAAATGATGAGTCGGGCACACAACAGAACCCAAAAAAAAAAACGTTATTACTGTGCAAATTTGTTTACAAACTATTGGGGAAACCAAGTACAAATACCAGTAATGGGAAACTGTGATCCGGCGATGGGGAGAATAGATTACAGAACCAAGCACAAAGACATATAGGCACATGCACGCATAGTAGATCAAAAAAAAAAAAAAGGGAAAAACACACACACAACTACGCACTGCATCACATAATTCATTATTTGACGAACCTGAAATATTTAATTGTTATCTTGAATAGGTGCAGACCAATGTGCACACAACGTAATGGAATGTGAAATGGAAATACACAAAGATGGTTCAAAATACTGGACACCACCCACAGCAAAAGAGAAAACACCGTTCGAAGGACAGCGATTCGAAACAGTTGAAAACGGAATTGAATTCTACGAGGAATATGCTAAGGAAGACGGATTTGATGTTAGGCATGGAACAAAGCGTAGAAATCGATTCGGGCAAGTGTCAATAAAATACATGCTGTGCTCGCGGGAGGGTTACAAGGCCGAACGAAAGGAACCCAATAATAGCTCAAAAGAAAAACAGAGACGGAGGAGAGTGTCCAACAGGATAGGCTGTAAGGCACATATGGTAATGACAAAGTGTGACAAGGGCGGATATAAAGTACATGCAATTGATGACACTTAAATTTTGATAAATATTAATTATTTATCAATATTAGTATATTTGAATTTCTGTATGGATAATATTGATATTATCTAATTTGTTAATTAGATAATATCAAAAGAGTTTGAGCTTATCAAAACTCTCTATCCTACAACTATAAATAGGGCCTTTCATTTCTATGTAAAATCACAGTTCCTAGGAACAATTCATAGAAACATCAAGTTTATTCAGAGATCTCAATAAAAAATGTGATCCTCAAAGTAAAAACCCCTCCATAATGATCATGCCTATGCCTATTGGTCCAAACCTCCATTGAAGATCAAGCCATTTGAACCCGGAGGCCCTTCAAGAAGAACAAGCTATATATACAAGCCCTTCTTTGAAGATTAAGCCACTTAAACCCGGAGGACCTTCAATGGTGGAGTGTTCAAGGCATCAATTGGAGAATTAGAGGACCATCCAGAGACTTGTACCCACCCCGCATTGATTTTGATATGTAACCAAAATTTTGAATTTCTAAATATAATTCAATTTTCTTTGTTCACAAATTGGCACGCCCAGTGGGACAGCTCTCATATCTTCATAGGCACTTTTAACCGGTATGGGGGCAAACCCCATATGAAATTTGAAATGGAGGAGGCTAAATGATACTCCTTGGCACGAGTTAAAACAGCCTCATATCTTTCAAGGCTCCTTGGCACGAGTTGAAACGGCCTTATATCTTTAATTGTAGTGTCGAGACTTCCTTGCACTACATACTTTCGAGTGGTATATGCTCTCAAGTGGTGTACAAGCAAGTCTCGAGGGGGCATTTGATGACACTTAAATTTTGATAAATATTAATTATTTATCAATATTAGTATATTTGAATTTCTGTATGGATAATATTGATATTATCTAATTTGTTAATTAGATAATATCAAAAGAGTTTGAGCTTATCACAACTCTCTATCCTACCGCTATAAATAGGGCCTTTCATTTCTATGTAATCACAGATCCTAGGAACAATTCATAGAAGCATCAAGTTTATTCAGAGATCACAATAAAAAGTGTGATCCTGAAAGTAAAAACCCCTCCTCCATAATGATCATGCCTATGCCTATTGGTCCAAACCTCCATTGAAGATCAAGCCATTTGAACTCGGAGGCCCTTCAAGAAGAACAAGCTATATATACAAGCCCTTCTTTGAAGATTAAGCCACTTAAAACCGGAGGCCCTTCAATGGTGGAGTGTTCAAGGCATCAATTGGAGAATTAGAGGACCATCCAGAGACTTGTACCCACCCCGCATTGATATTTGATATGTAAACCAGAATTTTGAATTTAATATATTTTATTCAATTTTCTTTGTTCACAGCAATCCAGCTACGACATACCCACTGTCTATGCTCAGACGCGGCCAAACCTTTTTTAAAGATAAATAGGCAACTTGACATCAGCCACAAAACCTTCCTGACGCACTATGCAAAGGGAAACATCGGTCCCACAAAGGCTTTCAGACTGTTCAAAGAGATGGTGGGCAATTTCACAGATATAGGAGCAACATGCATTGACTTCTGCAATTTCAGACGAGAGCTATTGGCTTATATAGCTGAGGCCGACGCCCAAATGGTAATAGAAGACATCTACAAAAGAAAAGAGGACAACCCGGACTTCTATTTCGATTTCGACATAGACGAAGAAGCTTAATTAACAAGGTTATTCTGGGCAAACGCAGAATGCCGGAGGAACTATGCATATTATGGAGATGTCTTATCATTTGACGCCACTTACAGTACAAACAGGTATAACTCGTATGAGGTTTAAAATATTCTGACCGGCAACTGTGCACGCGCTGTGTAAACAGTGTGCGCGCAAGGGTCTGGACAGGGATTAAAAAAATAACGTGCGAGATGCAGAAATTCAGCGTGCGCAGCAGCGTACTATATACTAGTCATCAGATTACAAGAAGTGTGCTTAATACTAATTACAAACGTGCTTATATCGTAGGTACAAGTTAGTGTTCGTCCCTTTCACAGGGGTGGATAACCACAAAAGATGCATAACATTTGGGGCAAGGTTGATTGCAAAAGAAGATGTAGAGTCATATGAGTGGCTAGTCATGAAGTTCAAGACTGCAATGGAATACACCCCAAGATGTGCTACAACTGACCAAGATCCAGCACTAAAAATAGTCGTACCACAAATTATGCCAACAACAAGGCACAGATTCTGTATGTGGCACATCATGGCAAAAGTTGGGGAAAAAGTAGGGGTTGCATTGTGGCACAACGCAGACTTCAAAAAGGAACTAAATAACACCGTATGGGATGACACATTAACAATAGATGAATTTGAGAGGAGATGGACAACACTAATGAAGGACTACAATCTTGAAGACCACCGGTGGTTTGCCCAACTCTACGAGGCACGTGCATCGTGGATACCTGCATACTTCAACGACATACTAATGGGAGGTCTGCTAAGGACCACATCACGGTCAGAATCAGAAAACAACTACTTTGGTAAATTTACAAACCACCACTGCAGCTTGGTAGAATTCATGGCACAATACAATAGTGCAATTGGAGAACAGAGGCACAAACAATCAAAACTCAACGCAGAAAATGAAGGTTCGTACCCTGAAACTAAAACCCCTTTGAGTATTGAGAAGCACGCTGCTAAAGTCTACACCGTAAACATACTCTATGAATTTCAACAAGAGGTATGGGATGCGAGTTTCAGATGCCACATCACCGACAGAAATAACCTAGGTGATATATGGACTTATCAAGTTGAAGAAACAGGTGGAAAAAGTTTTGAAGTAATAGAAATCCCAAGCATGGAGCAAATAGAGTGTGCATGCAAGAACTTCAACCGTGTCGGTATACTATGCAGGCATGTGATACAAGTGATGAAGACAAGAGGGTATGAAACAATCCCACAAAAGTATATTGTCCCACAGTGGACACGAGACGCATGTGCACAGCCATTATACGACGTCCCATGGGCAAAAAGAACAAAAATTCCCAAGGCAACTGAAACAACAAAAGTTGCAAATCAACTATGGAATGAATTCTACAACTGCATGGGATTAGTGAATGGTTGGCCAGACAAGATGGACAAAATGTTGGCAACATTGCAACAACTCAAGAAAGACCTAGAAAACGAGAGGCAACACACACAAGGGCACGCCAACAACGAATCTGTGTTTGAAACACTAGTCGGATCAAGCAGACCGAGCGACATACAAATAAAACCACACAAAGTTGCAAAGAAAAAAGGGAGTGGGAAGAGACTCAAAAGCAACAGAGAGAAAGCCACCACGAACAACCAAAAGAAAAAAGAAAGAACATGCAATATATGCGATCTCCCCGGGCACAACAGTCGCACCTGTCCGGATAAACTTGCATAAGACGAAGTTTGCAACAATTCAATTCAACAACCCATGAAATATTGTCATTATGTTTACATTTATGAACCGAATTTACTTACTTATATGAAGCAAAAATTGTTATTACTACCACTACTGCAGTGCAGCAAACCTGAACTACCTACATTTAGATGCGCGCACAAAGGTAAACACATACGCGCACAAATGTAAACACATACGAGCACAAAGGTAACCACATACGCGCACAACGAGCCATAAGACAACACCCACCGAATTGGACGCGCGCGAATGTTAAAAAAAAAAATCCCATCGCCCACAAAACGAAGTAGAACGTGCACACAAACAAAATTATTGCAAACTAACAGCACACACAACCCAATATTAAAATCCACGAACAGAGCACAACATATATAAGCACAAAGAACCACCAACCATCAGACACCGCACGAACGCACGCGAGAAGTTTTCTAAAAAAAAAAAAAAAACTACACCGAGCACACAAATAAGGACAGCGCGCACACAAAACCCAACTACGCACACATGTATATACACCGCGCACCCATGCTAACTTTGAGCCGTGACCCATCTAGACGAACACACCATTGTACTACTGCGCACACCATGGGGAACATTAAACTGATAAATATACGCACCACGGCAGAAATGCAAAGACAGCGATAGAAAACCAAGAAATATGCGTAACCCAACAATAACTAAGCATACCAAAAAAATAACAATAGGACTATAAAAACGCTGAAAGCATAATACAACTAAGCCATTCACGAATTAAAACTAACAACAAAAAGCGTGTGCCCAGCTCAAGTTGCAACAAAAACCATCGTGAGCACAGTATGCATTCAAAGTGTGCGCACCACAAGCACCACCAAAAAACACAGCCTAATAAAAGAAAAAAACGCCACTAAGTGGAAGGGGGTGGAACTGATATCGACTGGTAAGCGCGAGCAAGGTTGTCTTCCCTCATCACATTACACTGCGACGTGACAAGCTCATTCATATACCACAAACGTAACTTGTGTAGCACCGTACAGTCACCCTTAACCAAGCCACACCCTCCCAATCACGAACCCGATGGCCAACAAAAGTCTCCATGTGCCGCATTAAAAAAATACCACAATCGATCTTATTCTTCGAATCACGCCATCCCATTTGCAAACGCTTGGATTCAACACCAGCACAAACTGTTGCCCTCGAAGGAGAAATAACCTCAAAAAACTCAAATAGAATCGCCTTCTACAATTGGAAAACACACAACAGAAATCAGAAAATATGGAAACTAGAGCCACGGATAAAAGACCAAAAAGATACAAAATCTTTAGAAAAAAAAAAAGAAAAAAAGAAATTGGAAGCAATGGACAGAACACTAACCAACACATCAATACAACTACTATACTTGTCAACCTTCGCAGCGGGATTAGAGTCATTATCAATGATCTCATACCGACCCCGGACAAAATCAAAGCACAACAGGAAATAGTGACCACGGCGTAGAATCGGGAAAAAAAATCTGCACACAAAAAAGAGTGAAATATAAATGGGACTGACCGTGCACCGAAACAGAGGCCAAAGATATTTACAACACCATGCACCCAGAACAGACAACCATGCACACCAACACAAAGTAAGACTGACCAAAAAATGACAAACATACCATGTCAATCGCCGTAATATTTTCATACGGAGATGCCTGGAGGTCCATCATTAACCTCTCACGGAACCACACAACCCTTTGATCCCATCCACGGGAAGTATCAACCACAGTCGTGAGCTAACACAACCCACCACCAACGCACAAACAAACCAATTAAAGATTAAACAAAATAACTCAACAAAAAAGAAAGGGAAATAAAATTTGTGCAACTAAAACTAACCGTGGTGAACGTCGAAGCAAAAAGACGTGACGGGGCCGACAGAGGCTTAGAATGCTCCAAAAAATTGAGCACAGTAGCCCAGGCATCTATAATCGCAACATCAACCTGTGAACCTGGAGTCAGTGACAGAAAATTCTCCCACGTCGCAGACCTAACACCAGCTGAAAATATAGTACGCCCCCTAATACAAACAACACAACAAACTGTCACCAAACAAAACAAAAAAAAAAAAAATGGAAACACCACAAAGAAACCAAACCACTAGACTAATATGTCAGCGGCCGAGCCCCCAAGCAACCAATTAACGATCAAAGCATCTTCCGGGGCATCGGGAACAGAAAATGTAACACGCTCACTGACGCTGAACAGCTGATACTGAAGGCGAGTGGCAACCACCGGAATATCAGACACGAGATACTTACTAGGATGAACAGCTTTAATCGGGGCCGCACACACAGCCCCCCCGACAACATAGGACCACGGGAAACAACGCCACCACCACACTCCTGCAAAATACAGAAAACAGGCATGCAAAACTTATCAACTGGAAGCACACACCCAGCACACTACACCAGAACTATCAAATACAGGCACGCACATGCATAGCAGTTCGCTAGCACACCCACTAAAATATAGAAACAATATTTCTACAAAATATAAGCAATTCAAACCTCCGTCGGCGTAGAAAACTCCGGAGTGTCTGGCGTACGAGCACCACCCGAACCAGAACCCACAGCATGACCACCAGACACATCATCATCATCATTACACTGCCAAGCACGACAACATATATATACTAGCACACAGTATCGACACCCAATATTAATCACTGCCAAAGAAAAAAATAGTTCAAGAACCAACCTCAACAACAGCAGTAGTCTCTCGAGACTCCGGCATAGCGCGACCACCCACACCTACCACCGCACCAACATCACCTCTAGCACCACGCCCAGCCAAACCAGCCTCCTTCATCGCGGCCCCCAACCCAGCACACAACACCAACAAGCTTACCGAATCCCTAAGAGACGGGGAAGACTCACGCCCGTGCCCCCCATCAGCACCACGACCCCCATCACCCACCGCCGCACAATCCTGCATTAACCCAAGGCTAAAGGAAGGCATATCATTCACGCCAAACCCCTCAGAAATTTCCCAGAAATCAGCATCCAAATCCCGCAACCGGCGCTGCATAGGAGCATACAAGCGACGACAAACCTCCCTATCCGTCACCCTAGCACGTGCCATCTTGAAAAACTGGGCCAAGCTATCAACCGAACTCGCCAAAGCAGCAGCAGCCTCACCAACCACACATTCAAACGTCTAGCACGAACAAAAAAGAAACCCCATAAATTAGCAAAGTAACACACTGCCAAAAAAACATACAGTGTGCAAGTAAAACAGTACAGTGTGCACACATACCTTGGGCCCATACTCAGGACCATCAGCATCAGCATCCAAGCACACCCCAGCAGGCTCAATCTCTCCAAGACCAAAACCACCAGCATTCATCTCCGCGGCCTCCCTAGCAAACAGCAGCTCAGATGTCCACCCACACAAAGAAGGCACAAGCCGTGGAACAGACCGCTCAAACGCCAACACACGGTCCACATAGAACAGCTGAAACAACAACCAACACAATAAGGGAATAACACAACAAAACAGTAAAAAGCCAGAAAAATAACAAATACTATCATACCGCAATAAACTGCGCAGGGCCCACGAAGCATTTATGACGACCCGAAATCCAAGCATCCTGAGTCTCCACCAAAGAATCTAGCAAAAGCTTGCACCAATTTAACTCATGGATCCGAGAAACATCATCGAAATAGTGAAAATACATCTGATTTGCATAGCCATTGCTCATACAACACACCAGCGTAGATAGCACCAACATAAAAAAATGCCTCTTAAATCAGTCACCGCCATCAACCTCCGTAATAACTTTGTCTGCAACCATGGACAAAGACACCGTATACCTCACCTTCCCAAACAAACCCCTCCAATGTTTCAACAGGTTGCAAATCTGCAGCCTCTCACGCTTCACCATCTCGGACTCGCCACGTGGAATCCCCAACACTAATTCAACATCACGCTCATACACAGGAAGGACTCTACCACCGCCCAAGTCAAACGTCCTAGACTGCCCATCAAAATTAGATAGAAGCCAATGCACAAGGCTAGGAAGACACTCTGACACCTTGAAATCTAACAAATGCCCAAATCCTAGACCCCTAATATCATCTTTCTGTCGCACAGACAAATCTTGAAGCGCATCAACAAGCACACCAGACTGCCCTCGAAACTTAACAGTAGGAAATTCAGCATCCTCTTCTACAGACCCCTTACCACCATCCGAAGAATCTTCAACCGCATTCCACAACGGGTCTTGCTCCAACCTAGCCAAGAAAGCCAACGGTGGGGAAACGAAGTCATCATCACTCAAACCCCCCTCAACCACCCGTGGAACAGCCCGCGCACCCTTAACCTTCTTACCTGCAGAAAAGAAGACCCGCAATTCCAAACACTTTAAGAGAACAAGCACACTAAACGTACACACTTCCAACACTACCATACCACAATTTAAGATATGTGGGATGCAAATTAACCACACTAGGCAGTGTATACTACTCAATATCGAAACCTAGAAATGAACTACAACTATTATTATTATTATATACGATAAAAAAAAATTCCCCAAAACCTTCTTACCTGCAGAAAAGAAGACCCGCAATTCCAACACACTTTAAGAGAACAAGCACACTAAAAGTACACATTTCCAACACTACCATAGCACAATTTAAGATACGTGGGATGCAAACTAACGACACTAGGCAGTGTATACGTATCATCATCATCATCATCATCATCATCATCATCATCATCATCATCATCATCATCATCATCATCATCATCATCATCATCATCATCATCATCATCATCATCATCATCATCATCATCATCATCATCATCATCATCATCATCATCATCATCATCATCATCATCATCATCATCATCATCATCATCATCATCATCATCATCATCATCATCATCATCATCATCATCATCATATTATTATTATTATTATTATTATTATTATTATTATTATTATTATTATTATTATTATTATTATTA